TCTTATATGTCCATATATACTCGCTTTGCGACTGTAATCACGAATGACGATGCTGCATGCCGCTATCTAATGAATCTAACCCGCATGTCGGCAACACACAGTAAACAATATGTCTAAAACATCATAGCCAGTGCCAGAGCGAAGGGAAATATGGCAGCAGTGTAACCAGGCAGTTCCCTGGGAGCAAGACTGGTCTTTATCATAAGCTGCGGCTCATAGTTCTCGGGCCCCGTACTGTTTATAGTTCCATCCCAGCAGTAGTTCTTGAAACACTGAGAGCAGACTTCAGGCAGAGTAGTACCGGTGCGTTCAGCAGAGCGCGAAAGGATAGCACACCCCACACATGATGGCCAGCTGGCATCCTCCGTGCCATTTCCACGGGTGGCAACATTATAACCGTTCGTGATCATGGCATCACGGTCCTCGTAGCTGTAGGATAGGTCGAAAGTGGACGTATTAGAAAGAAATGTATAAGGGGCGTTAGGAAGGTAGACAATCAGCGGTGCTGGCCCAGTCAGGTTCTTGCTATCGCATCCAAAAAAGGTCGGACGTTTGTTCAGTCCCAGGTTGATGAAGGTATTGGGGTCGGGGACCGCAGGGAACACGGTTCCGTTGCTGACAATCGAGCTCAGACTCCTTTCGTAGGTGCGCACTAAGGACTTGCCGGAAGGCCAGCTGTGGATATTAGCTGTGGAGTCCACGGCGAAGATGACGTCGATATGGCGCTCTGGCTGGATCAACGGATGTAATGGGACGTTTTGTCCGTCTTCACCTCCATCTACGACACTCAAGTGGGACCGGTTAGCGATAGCCGGCGTAGCACCAGTATACTCATAGAATGGGTTGGGGTAATTGGCAATATCGTTGTTGTCCTGGCCCAGATCTTCGAGAATACTTGCGATAGCCGACTTGAAAATCTTAGGAATCTTTGTGCCATTCAATCGTAGCAACCCTTGATTGAAGAGAGAAGACGAGGTACCCATGACATAGCCAGCATTGTCGAAGCCCCGAACACACGACCCGTTGCTAGATATCTGGCCACCTTTGAAGTCGGAACCCAGATATTCTAATGGTGCGAAGCTATAGATAGCAGGATCAAAGGTGCCAAATTCCCAAGGATTGAACTCGTACACAGTAGAATTACTACCGATAACTAATTCACCGGGGTTCCGTCCATCCGCGACCAGAATGGGCAGGGGGGTTTGACCTCGTTGGAAATTCTCCATCAAGGCAATCGATGACCAAGTATAGTCGGGACCCCCGCTGCTGGCATTGATAAACTGGTAGGAGAGCGCGCGGCCCCAGTAATCGGTAAGGGACGTGTTAAAGCCCGCCTCTTTCTTGGTTTTTACTGTGTCGACTAATTCACTCCAATAATCGACGGTGTTGAGGAACTGGAAGTGCTTCACGTTCGGACCCTCAAGAATGTTGTTTGTTAGATCCCAAGTATTGTCACTCGTCTGAAGATCGCTGATGGTGGTGAAATTATTGATAAAGACAGATCCTACCAGCCATCCACCGCCGCTTAGCGCTGAAAGGTAAGTGGCAGACTGCAAGAGGCCTCCCAGCTGACCAGAAGCGGTCGAATTGGTGGTTCGACTGTCAAAGGCCTTGAGAGCCCCAGCACCGTTTAGCATGGCGCGATATCCACCACCGGACACGGCAATCCCGATGTTGGGTAGATTGGACATGTTCGTAGACACTCGGTCAATATAAGCCGATGCATCGAAGTTTGTCAGGTTCAGGCGACCGAGGAAATTCTTCAGGGGCGACACAACCTCCTTCCGACGCGACTCGAGCCAGTCTGTTTCATTCTGGGATAGCTTGGATGCACTGCGCACTGTAGGCTTCACAGCAGGGCAAGAGACATTTGCAGGAGCGTATTCATCTGGAGCATTCGGCAAAGCGCGTAGGTGAATACCAGGGGCAGCACTGGCCAGGGCAGCCCCTAGCAAGAGGACATTCAGTTTCATATCGTAGGTTGAGGTTTATAGAGAATATAGGAAAACATCGGCATGAATCGTTCAACACAGAATACAGTACAGTCTAAATGTCAGACAGGCGAATCTTACTTCGCTTATAGCTATGTCTGTAGGATTCTGCTTCGGTCCCATTAGGCAACCACCAAAATCCTTCTCAGCCCTAACGTTGGCAGGGATTCAGCCTTATGAGCTGTGGTAATGTTTCATCAAAACTCCAACTAGCGGCTATGATGGGTCTCACTATTGAACTAGGCTACCACATAGTACATCCCTTACCCTATTAAGCACCGCGGAGATCCACACCTGGGCGAATAAATGGGGCCTCCACCAGATAGAACTCCCAGGGAATGGTCTTGTTTAAGTTCCAGGTTGAAGGATTCCTTCTAGCTCCGCGGACATTCAGGCATTCATCAATCAGACCGCTACCCGCGGGGCCCGCCTTCCCATAAACGGTGGCAATCCATTATAGCAAATTTGATTATACTTGCTTCAATGAACTTCTACCTGGTCGGATGGAGCAAGGACTCTTAATCTATCCAGGAACAATAAACGTACAGCTTGACTTCTGTTGTTTCAGAGAAAACTAAAAGCTATAACGAATCTCCCAGCCGTGACGGTCGGCAGCTAAAACCACTGGGGTTGTTATAGGGAGAGCATCAGGGATACCAAAAGCTTCTAGGAAAGGTGCAAAAAGCTGGCACGCTGCCAATTTTATGCCATCCTCGAGGGCTAATACTTGTATGAATTGCTTTGCCCGGTCATGGATAAGAACGTCTATCATCTACGACCTCCGTTTGATACCGTTAGAAGACCTTTCCAAGTCCGTGTCGGAGATAATGACAATCGCCTTTGAAGGTGGTCCTCTTCTAGACTTCTTTATTGTGAGACCTTTTAGACAGCCAAAATCTCACGGCTCTACCGAACCCTGAAAAAGGATGGAGTTTGAAGCAATCTTCTGGTGTCAAATCCAGACGGGGTGCTTCGGCAGACAGGAGAGCCATCTACCCCATATCCTGACAGAATGTATGGAGCCACGTTGAACCCCGGTCCCCAACTCTGTTCCAAGTAAGGGGCACTAGGGGCCGCAGTAATTAACATTCCTAGGAAGCAGAAACAAAAAGGAAACGCCCAATGCGGGGCTCGAACCCGCGACCTTGAGATAGCAGGCTTTCTAAGAGATAGTCTAAAAGTCTCACGCTCTTCCAACTAAGCTAACCGGGCCTTGATTAGTAACGCCAGATTTTAGAAGGCTACCAGAGGGAGGACATGCAGTGTCTAAGGATTCAGGTTACAACTGTACATCGAGCCGGGAGCCTAGGGAAACTCCTCATCAGCAGAGGTGGGTCCAGGAGGAGAAAGCAAAGAACCTTCCCAGCAGCAAGGCTGCACCTGTCAGTCAGAATCAGATATATCGACCACAAGAACATGTAAAAGATAATAATGAATGCTGCGGAGACTCTTCCACTTGCAATAGGTAGACGAATGGAACCTGCAACGATGAACTGGAGACATCAAAATGTCGGAATCAGAAAGGAAGTCTGTTTTGCGGTGGGCGGCAGCACGATATGCTGGTGTGTGAGGACATGAAGGTAAACTAGGTAAGAGAGTAGGAAGTCCCAGTAAACACAGCAAAGGTACATGGCGACAATCGTCAAGTAACGAGGTAAAAAAATCAAGCAAAATTGATCGGGGAAACTTCCCTTCCGTAAGGACGGAAGGCAAAAAAATCGCCCGATAGGGGGCTCGAACCCCTGACATTGAGATTAAAAGTCTCACGCTCTTCCGACTGAGCTAATCGGGCTTTCCTGATAATTGAGCCACCACTACGACATTATATAGCAAAGCTCAAAATCCCTTGATATTTTAGCCAGTATACTATTTGATATCCTGTCATGCTCCAACTCCTGAGTTCAGAATAACTATGGTGCTCCATTTGTAATGAATCAGTATACAAACCGAAGTAAATTTGGCCTCTGTAACCTCAAGATTTACCAAATTGAGTGAACTATTAGTTGAGCTCCAAACTGCCTTGGACATCCAAATGATCTACTTGATATATCTGAAAGCTGTCCGCCTTGCGAAAGCATATAGGAGATATTAAAGAAATGCGCTGGGATCAAGATATCGGGAAAAGATGCATCTTCTCCTCGGTCTCATACCTTTGGATCTATGCCTTAATTTCAAAGGGGCTGCGCTTGATGAGGTTCGTACCGGTTTGACACGCTTCGCCACCCATGGTTCTTCTTTCAACAAAGCAGGGTGTTCGAGGCCGGACGAATATTCAGAAGCTTGTAAGATAAGGAACAACAGCTTAGTCCCACTGTTGCCTGTCGCTTGGCTGCTGTCCCCCATGATCACACGCTTTACGAGTTCAACCATTGCCCCGATCTTCCGGGAAGGATTCTCTTTTGCAGAAAGAGAAGTCTCAATCTGAGATGACGTTTGGGGTTTCCGCAGCACGGATCTGTTATGGGACAGTAGCAGGCTTATGCGACAAAGCCTGACGGTATTTTGATTCGCGGTGCTCACATGGTTGATCCAAGTCATGTATTCGCTTATATATAATCTGGACACATCTCTTTGTCCCGTACGCATCATCTTATCGTAGAAGTTGGATGAAGTTAGTACTACTAGTATCGCTCTCATCGAACTGTACTTCGCGGTTAGATTACCTATGATCCTATGGGTTTGCCGTGTATCTTGTATGTGTCAACAGAGCAGAAATGTAGGGAGTATAGAAGAACAACAGCGATGCCGCCTACCTATCATGTCGATCACTGTCTCAACGGACCACTCAGTGAACTCCGATAAACCCACAGTGGGGACACGATACGGATAAGCTTCACCCCTCAATCAGAAATTTTTTTTTAAATTATACAGACTTTTTTGTTTACAAACTCAACATTACCATAATAAAACAGTGACAGTTTGACATAGCGTCCTTTTGTATTGTGGAATAGCGTATATTAGACAAAACACCACAATGAACCCACTACGCTACTTGGCGCCGCCGCGCCCATTCACGGAAATTTCCACCTCCACAAGCAAAGAAATCAAGGAAAGGATCAGCTATGTGGACTCCATGAAAGCGAACCCTCACTTCAACATCTCCGAAGAAAGAGAAGACGCTCTATTGGACTACCTGGAAGCCTGCGCCAGTTTGACCGAAGGCCCTGCCAGCAAAGAAGAGCGCGAGGCCGCCTATGCTTGCATCAGGGGGTATGAGAAATCGCTGGAGAACAACGAGCCAGCCCGGCTGTCGTTTGATCTCGCAACCAAGACCAAACTCGGCGAAGAGCTCGATAACCTGTGGAATATGTGGACCTTCAATCGATATGAAAACTACCTTCCTGAGGACATCATCAAGGAGGCTCAGCACCACCCTTCATCTCAAGTGTCTGATCCCTGGCACAGGGAATTCTGGAGACCTTTCAACGGACGTCTTGAAGCGGAGAAAGCCGCCTTCGACAAGGTCTTGGTGGGCCAAAATCATCACAACGAGTGCCCGACTTTCCTTTTGCTGGCGCTCCTGTGTGAACGCCACACGCTTGATTGGGATGAGACCCTTGAATTGATCAAGGCTTGCGCAAGGGACGGCGATAAGCTCGAGCTCCCCGCGGTGGATCTTGTTGAGTTCCTCAAGAAGCGTGATGTCACCGGTCTGGCGACGAGATTGGACCGTGACGAGGCCAGTATCTCGCTTTCCACGGAGTATGTCATGGGGGTTGGGTCGTTGGTCCTGGCTTTCTTCGCTTCTCATCTCCCGGAATTTTTGTTTGATAGAGATGAGGTTGACCCGGCGGATTGGACACCGAAGGAGCCCTTGAAGGTCCTGCTCGATCTCGACGAGGCACACGAGCAGGCTTTCCGGTTCATGATGCAGGAGATGTTCAATAAGATGGCCGATGGCGACTCCGATGAGGACGGTGACGATGTTTACGATGATTGGGACAATGACGATGATGACGATGACGACGACATTGTCATGAGTGATGAGTCTGAAGACTATTAGCTGTGCTAATCTGGTAATTTTGCTTCTCGATTTGTTAGTCTTATAACAAGAAGAGCCATGTGTATATAATATACCATCCCTGCTGCCAATTTCCGTTAAATACCAAGTTGCTGTTTCCGACCAAGGCCCGCTACTCATAGACGGTATAATGTCACAAGAAGTACTTAGCAATCAACAATATCTCTCATTCAAACTAAGCTGCCACCCCCCTTAAGCTACTAGCACCGGGGGAGCGACGAGAAGAGACAAGAAGGTCAACATCACGGACATTTACTCTTCTATCCCAACTCTGCCTGCTCATCACATCGACCCGAATATCTCAACCCCATACATTTAAGCCAATCCAGATCAGCAACGCTGCCCAAAAAAAAGGCCCAAGAGTGTCAGATTGACCTAGACCACCCAACACGAGCATTTCGCATCCGGATGCACGCATGAGCAAGTGTACGTGGCCTTTCCTTCCTGACAATTACATTTCTTCTGCTTGTTGCAAGTACCATAGCAGTATTTTCCACGTTGCTGGGGATCAGAAACAGTTAGCAAGATGCCGAAAGTTGATTACATCGCGGGGGTTTGTGATGGATAGAATGACCGTGGCAAACGTACGAAAGGCTCGCCTTCAGCGGGAGCAGGAGACTTTTGAGCTGCGGTGTTATAGTTTTTGACGGCAGCAGCAGCAGAAGGGATGGATTCGGTGTTGCCGGGGAGGGCCACGGCGGTTTGGATGGAGAACAGGAACATGGCGAGGAAGGCAAAGAGAACCTTGAAGCTGGTCATTTTGGCTAGAGATGGACCTTAATTTCAAACTAAATTGTGTTGTTGGTTTTGTGCAAGGGGGAGTGCTCCATGGAACTTGGTGGTGAGGAAAGGAAAGAGGCTGTGGTATTTGGTCCATGGTGGTATATTTATAACTTCCATCGTAGAAGGATTAGAGATAAAATGCTTCACTAGAATGAGAACTCAGCTATGAGGAGTTAAGTCCATTTGGCCCCATGCAGCTATTCATACTGTAGAGTATATTCCCCATCAAATAAGGCATATGCACTCTTAGCACGCCCGGGTGTTTAATTAACAGTAGATGAACTTAATTTTTTATTTTGCCAACAGTTCTCTATCAAGTCGGGTCTAATAGTGGTTGAGCGAGTCAGGGCGCGATGTCGGAAGGAATGATTCATTATAATAGGGTTCGGGGCAATGAAGATAAAGACGGCTCTTCTTTCTGTATCTTGCGCCTTGTAGGATTACACCTCATACCCACCAGAATAGAGTTGGGAAAAGGGGAAAAGGGGAAATTGGGTTTCATTCTCTTTATGCATAGTGCTAGGGAATATCTCAAAGTAAAAAATGCCGTGAACCCTGGATATAAAATGCCGTTCCGCCCTATGAACTGCAATGAACCCGTTCAATACTACTCCGTGCTTAGTTTTTGTTACGAGATTTGACATAAAACACGGATTTCTATCCGACAACGGACACAAGACTATGACTGCACAAGCAGCATTAATACATGGCTGGGGGGAATCCAGTGAAAGGAGAGGATGTTCCCTCACCTGTGATAAACTCCACGCAGCTCAAGTCACTAGAAATAACCCAGCAGTGCAGTGTAGCAGCATAGCTTCGGTCACTCAGAGGGATCCTCCAGATCAATCCAGCCTTCACGAACGTTTTCAGTAATCGCCGACTCGGGGGTTTATAAGGGACATTGGAGTTGCTAACACTATGCCGTCTTCAGTAGCCATCGTCCAAGTGAAGTGCTTCTTCGCTAGCAATTTAACATTTCCTTAATGCACAGGATATTAGCCGGATCCAAGTCAACAGGGCAACCCCTTTCACTAAGTTCGAGTTGTGTCATCTGTAAGGTTCCGGCATGTCACTTCCTCCCGGAATTGCTCCATATTGTTGTGTTGAATGTTTCTTTGCTTTCATATAGATCCGTGGTGCCGCCCTCGGCCCGTGGAATCCAATGGATTGGGCAAGTGTTCTCACTTATTAGGTATTCATCATCACGCCCGACATCCTAAGGGTCATTGTTAATATTGAGCCTAGTTGTATCCCTTGACCGCCAGACATAGGGTGTACTGCTGGTCTCAAGTCTGAGACATTACGTTCTTGAGGGATAATTCACCCTGTTAGCTTTATTGACTTCTAGAAGACTACAGCATGCAAATGTGAGAAGGGGTAATTCTCCATTAGACGTAATTTAATCGCTTGATAATGACTTTTCCTGCCTGCTACTAACCTGTAGTACTAGGTCTAGAAAATCGAGAGCGAGTTTTAATTAAAAGATAACGCTAGCTAAGCAGAAGCTTGCTCCATTCCCCATCTAATTCACCTCGGAGAACGAGCTTCCGAAGAGAATCACAGGTGAGCCAAGACAGCCTCGGCGCCCGACACCTACCCACTTGGTTAGCACTGGCAATTGTAAATAGGACCAAAAGAAAACGCACCTCCACAACACCCTTCTTAGTCTCGATCTGAGCGTAGGTCACCTTGCCATGATCAATGACAATCGCATAGCGACCGGTGCGACCGTTGCTGGCCCAGCCGATGCTGTTTGAGAACTTGGCGTCGGGGTCAGAGAGGAACAGCTGCAGCAATCAGTATACTGCAATTAAAAATGCGTTGGTAAACCACCAGGGGAGAATACATACAATGTCATCACCCTTCACCTTATTGGCCTTTCCCCAGGCGCTCATGACGAAGGGGTCATTAGATGCAACGACAGCAACGACCTGGACACCCTTTTCCTTCAGCTCGGGCAGATTCTGGATGTACCCGGGAACGTGGCTGACGGAGCAGGTGGGGGTGAAAGCGCCTAGAATTGTGAGACCATGTTAATTTCAACATATCGATGGGATGGTAAGTTAATGGAGACTGACCAGGAACGGCGAACAGGACCACCTTCTTATCGGCCCATTCTTTAGAGGCGTTGTAAGGGATGGGGATACCGCAGGCGGCGATGTCGCCCTTCTCCTCGGTCCAGGGGACGTACCTGACAACAATTAGTAGGGAACTAGGACGGATGAATTGAAGGTCACAAACTGGAAGACAACGTCGTTGGGGAAGGAATCTCCGGGCTTGAGGGCCATGGTGACTGATGCGTATGGTGGCTGTTGGTGGGAGTGGTGGTGAGGAGTTGAGAGTGAGAGTTGTGAGTTGGATGTTTTGGGGTAAATTTAATTGGACGCGGGGTAGACGATTATATCATAATCAATTAATATCAACCAATTTTATGGTGGGGTTGATCAAGACTACAAGCTGTCAATAGTTAATTGTCCTAAACACGAACTAATGCAGGCGTGCTGTTCGGACTCCGGAGTCCTCCGAGTTGAGCCGGACTTAACCGAAGTTAATTCGATTCGAAAACTCAATTGTATATCATAATCCAAATCACATTAGTTCTATCATGTTCATAAATACATATCCTCTATGCCCATATTCTATCTATAATGCTCGCCAGAACTGGTGTGGGTGCGTCACCTTGACTCCTAACTTCTTCGCCGTGTTAATGACCCATTCCGGTTCTCTCATGAACTGACGCGCTAAGAGAACAACATCTGCCTTGGCCGTCACGATGGCCTCAGCCTGCTGCGCTTCATCGGCGCCCTGAACGATGCTCTGCGCCTGTTCTGCCTCAGTGATCAATCCCACACCTCCCACAAGGGTCGATGCACCCGCTTTCCGGATCGCCTTTCTCAGCTCCCCGGCCAGATCTACCTGGTAGCCAGGACTCAGTTTAATCTTCTGGTCTTTATGACCTCCGCCCGAGCTAACATCGACCAAATCAATGCCCAATTCCGGCAAGATCTCGACTAAACGGAGAGAGCTCTCTAGATCCCAGCTACCCGACTCGGCAGCCACAGGCTGACCCTCAAGCCAATCGGTCGCACTGATGCGGAGGAACACCGGCATACCATTCGGAATGACAGCACGGACGGCAGTCGCAACCTCACGGACAATGCGAACACGGTTCTCGAAGCTACCGCCGTACTCATCGGTGCGCTTGTTGGTCGCGGGGCTCAGGAACTGATTCAACAAGTACCCGTGTGCCGCATGGATCTCGATAACATCGACACCAGCCTTCACCGCCAGTTCTGCGCTCTTCGCAAACGCTTGGACCACCTCCTTGATTTCTGCTGTGCTCAATGCCCGGGGAGCCCAAAATCTGCCCTCCGCGGGGTCCCAGATATTTTCTTCACCGCCACTAGGCCCGACCACGTCCTTCGGCCATCCGAAGACGCTCTCCTCGGCCCGGAGACTGGGTTTTCCGGCTTGCGCTGCTACCCATGGGGGCAACACACTGGCTTTCCGACCGGCGTGGGCCAGCTGAACGGCCACCTTGGCACCCTGGCTATGGGAGAATTGGACGACGCGTTGGAGACCTTTGAATTGTTCGGAGTCGGTTCCCTCCTGCCAAAGACCGGCGTCGTGGGGCGAGATACGTCCATTGGGCTGGACGGCCTGTGCCTCGACGAAGACCAAGCCGGCACCTTTCAGTGCGAATTGGCCCAGGTGTGCGATGTGGTAGTCGGTCAGGGCGCCGACGAAGGGGGAGGCGGGGTTCGACTCGGCGGAGTACATGCACATGGGAGACACAATGATGCGGTTCTGAGGGTCACATCACGGATGCGCAAGGGTTTGAAGAGGGTGGGAGTGTTGGGGTCGTCGGGGTTGACAGCGGCGCCTGCATTGTTGGCGGGGTGAAGTAGGGGTATTGTCAGCTGGGACCACGGAAGGGGATGTTGAAGAGATAGATCCCATCGTGACTATCTTGGTTTATGACTGTGAGGATAGAACGAGGATAGTTTGCCCTGCCGGATAAAGGTCATTGTGGGCGCACTCATGGCGATTTATAGCTTCGATATGGTGAACCGCGTGGAGTCTTTTTGGATGCCGGAAAATCACGGCTGACAAATGCTCGGCTCAGGTGCCGAGGCCGATAGACTTTGAGGCTTCCTATTGGCCACTGATCTACAGAACTCTACTGCCATTGGCTGGTTCTTGTACCCTTGTCAAAAATATACAGCTCAGTAACAGTAAATATGGATATCTCACGTAATGATTGCCCTACTTCAAGTAAGACTTAGGATAATCATGAGCTAAGATGATTAGAAATGCACTTTTTACCATAGGACCCATCATGGATGCAACCAGTGGATACTTAAACGAGTCACTAGGATAGGGACATTTCCAATTATCAGCACTGGCTCACGATATTCGAAGTTGTCACCATTAGATATTAGATCCCTCAGGCCGTTTGACGTGACAATATTAGTACATATCAGAATGTAGCCATATACGTGGCCCAAAGCCTCATTTGAAACACCGCAGACCCAATATTAAACCTGACACCGACTGTCTCTTCCATTCCTCGCCTCCCCATACCTTCTGGTCTTCCTATCAAAATCGATCCGGAAAGCCCACCACACGCAGGACGCTAGCAATCCCAGCAGGAAATCACACACCGTCCAAAACCGCGGACTCGGCCCACGCATATTATTCAGCAGAAGCTCCGTCTGAAAGTCGACCGCGATGTACGTCTTCCCCTTCTCCAAGCCCCGGACAATCTTCCTCGCGATCTCTCTGGCACTGGGTATCTTGCGCTCCAGTTCCTCCTGGGACATACTGGTTCCCTCGAGGACCTTTGTGAGTCCGGGTTTCTGTTCTTGCTCCTGAAAGAAGGACTCGGATAGGAATGATCCAGGAAAACAGCAATGGACTTTAAACGCATCTTTGCCGTAAAGAAGCAGTTCTTGACGAAGGGTATCGGCCAGGGCGCGAATAGCTACCTTGGTAGGTGTGTAGGCTATATAACCCGGTAGCCCCAGGAAAGCGGCGGTCGACGATGTGAGGATAATATGTCTGGGTGAGGGCGTCTGCGGGGCAACGAGCCATAATTTTAAGCAGCTTTGGACGGCGAATATTGTGGTGTAGTAGTTTGATTCCATGCACGAGGTCAGAGCCTCCGGAGGGATATCGGCGAGAAAGCGACCTGGTTAGGAGTACCCCCTGCTGTGCAGACAAGGATGTCAGGCGGGTGGTAGTGTCGTAAGGCTCTAGATATCTGTTTAATTAGCAAGGACGAGCAAGGACGGCATGTATGAAGGGGATGTACTTCATCAGGTTTGGTCAGATCAACCGCCCTTGTATCGACAATTTGCTTTGACGAAGCACATGCAGCTTCGACTTCATGCTGCGCAACTTGTAATGCACTTTCCGTCCGGGCGAGAAGGAGAAGATTGGCGCCTGATTCTTGTAAGTTTTATCCATGTCTATGAGAGAGAAGGTTGCATGATTATGAAGGACTTTTTTTGGTAAAAAGAAGATCGTACCTTTCGATGCCAGTTCTAGTGCTATTGCCTTCCCTAACCCCCTCGATCCCCCCGCTACTACTACTAACTGATAGTTGTTAGCATATATGGATGATAATAGGGGGGATGTAAGACCTTCCCGTTCACATCAAATTTATTTCCAAACATTGTCATACAATCGTATACGCATCCAGACTGCGTATTGAGTGAGACAAGGATTACTTGAGATACGACATGCAGGGGAGAGTTCTTAAAACGTTCTCTGTTTTGGTAGCGGGCACGCGAAGCATGCAAGGGGTGGGATGGGGTTTGGCCAGGGGCAATGTTTACAGCCGACATTACATATGCAACTCTAAAAGGTAAACTGGAAGATATCTCCGCGTAATCCTTGCATGCAAATATCGAGTAAGCGAAATATGATTCATCGATGTTTGACTAATCGGTCAGGACGTGTCACATTTGTGTCCCTCACGATCAGCATTCCCCATATGCCAAGACATTTACAGTGTAGACGAGGTTGATGGTAACCTCGAAGTAGGTCTAGAATCTCGGAGCACAGAGTGCTTGTGTTGTGTATTGAACGCGTCGCGCATCGCCGGATTGTTATCCAATGTGGATGATAGAAACCTAGAAGCCACCAAGCTAGATCTTTCTAAAAGAAGTTTGACGCCGGGAGGGTAACATTTACCGATTCTACAGGCAGAATCGGAAAGTCTTCCGTATAAGGTAAAGATATCAGTCCGAGGTGGATGTAACTTACGATATGTGTATTATCGATTGATTCGTTTAGGGCAACAAAATCAACTATCGTTCCATTGTCCGGTTATTGAGCTTTTGCCCAAGTTACCACGCCCGAAGCATGAACAATGTTCACTGGCATCCCCCAGGAGCTGCAATTGAAGAAAACGAACAGTTCTTTCACAACAAGAAGTGCGGCAATGCGCTATATAAAGTTGTACAATTTCTCTTTCAAATAAAGTCAAACCAAAAGTCTCACATACTCACGTACAGAAGAGCTACACCTCAAGCTTATATTTCATCCCTTCTCAGCTCATATCCCACATCCGCGTATGGCTTCACCCCGAAAAACTTCCACACCTTTGCGCTGTCCAACTCCTCCGCTCGGCACTTCGCAGACATGATTATTTCGGCTGAACCATCGCCCATCCAAATCAAGGCTTTCCCCTTTGTGGTGTCAGTTTGTGCATGATATGAAAGGCAAACAAACAAGCCACTTACTAGTCCTACGTGTAGTTTCGTCATTCCCTCCCACCACTGCGGGCGATACTCTAGCTGATTCTGCGACCTGATGGAGCGCACGATATTGTGTGCGACAGACTGCGCCTGCTGTACTGCTGCTCGACCATTCTTGATATTGTCCATATCTACGACATCCCCGGCGGCATAGATATGGGTGAGCGACATGTCTGATATTTGAAGTGTAGGGCGAACTTTTACATGACCTGTCTCAGAGATCGATTCGGGTGACAGCGCCTGTATTAACTTCGAGTTGGGATGCTGGCCAACACATTTCACCTGGAAAATTAGCAAGCACTCAAGGACGTAGCTGCGAGAAGCGTACCAGGTAATCACATGCGAGAGTTTCGCCGGAGCTCAACTTGATATTACCCTCCTCTGCACTGTCGCTGAGCACCCTTTCACCCATGATAGTCACCACCCCTAGCTCTTCAAGCGCTTGTAATGCCCTTTCTCCGATTCGACCACCAAATCGACCCAGTAATGTCTTTCTGGAATGAACTAACGTGACATTTTTCTCGGGATATCGTGACTTCACATCTGCCACGAGCTCAATACCCGCAGCTCCACCACCAACGATGATCACATCCGTCGCAGCTTGGAGCCTCTCCTGCTCAGCCAGTAACTGTTCTATCCCTTCCTGTTTGGTCCCGGCTGGCACTCGCGATGGAAGTGCTCCTGACGCCCCAGTCGCAAGCACCAAGTAATCGAATTCCACCTCCTCACCAGACGCAAGCTCTACCTTTCCAGTGTGTCCATTCTCACCGGGGACAATATGCTCAACACTATCACGAACCCATTGATAAGAACCTTTGGGAGCCCGATCAAGGTAAGGCCCATATGGAATGAAAGCCTTATGTTCGTGGCCATTCACCACGCTAAAACGCGGCAAAACCCAAGTCAACTGGAAATGCGTATTCTTCTCGATAATCACAACCCGATACCCAGTTGGAAGCGAGCTAGCAAGACATTTAGCCGCGTGATATCCAGCGAAAGAAGCGCCAACAACGACAACGTTGCGCGGATTCTCCACAGCGCGGTAAGTGAGTCGGTGTAACCGGGTAGCAACCGCCTCTCTCAAGCTGACGAATATCTGGCCGAAGATAGGGCCGAAGAGCTTACAGATGAGCAGCAATTTCGCCAGCATGGTGACAGGACTATTGGCGTCATTCCGACCGGTGCTTAGATCCGTGTTTTCATCGTCAACTCTAGCTGCGGGGAGGACGAATGCTAGGTTTTAAGAGTTGGCGATGGCTTTCGGGGCTCGGATCGATGAAACATCCGTCCAACGAAAGTGAGACAATCGTGTTCTTTCGCTTGGCTTGCCCGAATATGTCTTTGCCCTTATGTCCGTGGGACGGGAAATTCGTTGTTTACTCCATGGGGCCTCCGTGGTATCTCCGAAAGGGGTTTGACTAGTTATCTTATCTGATCCGTTCCGAGAATCGGCGGTTATCCGTGAATCCCGGATCTGATCAGGTTTCCAATTTCGAATTGGACGGCTTGCGCATGTCACGGCTCATTGGATGTACATGTTCTAGACCTTGCGGCCAAGAATATATTCCGAAAGGCGATGACAGTGAAATACGCATGTTTATGTGAGAAATTAGCTGACAGGCGCGTATATCGCTAGAACAACTATATGACTTGCATCCGCAGCGAAACACAAAAGTACCCGGCGAAAAGTCGCGCGCGATGGCCAGTTCCCAATATTATCGTCCTCTCGGGTTATCATCCCTCTGTGGATTTCTCATGACACCTTTCTGCTAGTACAAAGGTCGTGCACATAAACCAGCAAAAGAAGAAAACAAAAAGCGCAGTATTGCAATTATGAGGTTGCCTAAATTACGTCAAGCCACAGAATTAACGCTCAGCCCTCACGGTGTCACCCCAGATAAGTGAGGTTAGCACGCTGCGCCCACCATTATATCTCTCAGGACTATACCTTACTTTGATGGCTGCTGCAGGGTTCAAGGACCATCATTGTGGTGACTCCCGGCTAGCATCGATGGTCCAGAAAAAGGTTTTGTATACACATCCTCTTATTTTTAGGACCAGAAGCTTAACATACGTCCATCAGGTTGAATAGGATACGGAGATGTGGGCAATCTATGTGCATTTGCCGCGACCCTGAAAATGGTGAAACGCATGTTTTATTCCAAGTTCAGTTCTAGGTTTTGCCTTGGGATGAAGGATAATGACAAGGCTGAATGAGCGCTGGAATGTGGCAAATATTCAAGGCACTACAAAAACCACATAACGAACAGGAGGTTTTCAACCTTTAACTAGTGGTTTAGGCAGACACAAATAGGTTTATGCAATCATGCATTTTCCAGCGTTTGTAAGTGGATCCCTGAACTTCCATCAAATTCGCCACAAGCTAAGAAACCAAATAGACCCGACGGTGATATGGAAGGGCGCCAACGCCTGATGAGAAAGCCTTGTATAGATAATGGCAGGTGATGGATGACAGATGGATGCCCGAGGGTACGCATCCACTCCAAGGATCGGCCCGCAAATCAGTATCGCTTGAGTGGGAACCATTGGCTCAGATGCTTCGTGTTCAGCCCCATATGCACCTAGTTTTCCTGCCTCCAATCAACGAGCCCTAAAAAGTCCCTGACTTGGCCCCAGCGCAAATGAACCACCACCTGCCAATGATGTCTTTGCAAGTTTCACGCGCTTATGCGCTTGAGCGTCTGGCCAATAATGAGCTCCACGGGGAAGAGTTTCAGCCTCGCCAGATGAAAAATAAAAACGGACGGCCCGTCTGTTGAGTCGCGGCGAAAGTGACACAACCTCGCAGTGGGTCGTATCCTTGAAATATACAGAGCGTACCCGCATGTCACCGTCTTTTACCTGGCAACACACAGCCCGTTATGTTCTTCAATGACAGTTTCGAAGATTTTCACCTCGACATCGTCGGTTTCCTCGCCATTTTGGGCGAGGGTTCCGTGTCGGTGAATTACCAAGTCTCGACGTTATCGGCCTTCACCTTTCTCCCACGCCTCTTGCCTGCACCCCAGGCGTTTATGAGACCGTCGCGACCACTCCGTCTAGATGATGTTCCAGGTACCGTGCTGGGCATTCGCTCCGGTAATTGCCGGCCTCACGTCTGCCGCATCCCGCATATCATCCTACCCGGGGATGAATCGATGAAGAGCGACTCCGATTACACGGTCCGCCATTATCGAATCACGATCAAAGACGGAGGGAACCCGTCAGATGCACTGATCTCGGCTCGAGCCTTCAGCCTGCTCTCCGTACTCGCCGTCATCGGCTGTGCCATGTCCATCGCGCTGCTGGGCCTCTCGATCCATTTCAATGACGGATGGGCGCTGGTAGCGACCGTCCTCCTCTCGTGCCTCTCATCCCTTCTCGGTATCATGTGTAAATGGTCCCTGAAGCTCGGAAAACGTGTAACGGGCCGAGACGATATCCCGTCCGGCGATGTGATCATCTGCTACCCGAACGGTGCTTTCATAATTGTGGAGTGTGAGGAAGCAGTCGCCCGATCGCTCTTCTTCGCACCCGAACGATGCAACTATCTCCTCTCGGGAACGTGGTATCGCTCCCTCGCCCTCCTCGGAACAATGATGCTTATGTTTGGAGTTATTGCGCTCGGGAACTCGGGAGCACGCATGCAAGTCACCTTCGGTGCGTCGTATCTGTTGCTCAATGCTGCGTACTGGATGGTTGCGGCATTGCCTGAGAAATTACACTGGGACTACTCGGCGCTTCACCTTGAGGAGGTCGCACCTGTTTTTCCGGCGCCGGGGGAGGACCGGAGCTTCCGAAAGGCGCTATGGGCTGCGATTAAGTCGACTAAGTCGACTAGGTGGGTGAAGACTGGACGTATCGCACCTGATACGGAAGCTTGGCATTATTGGTTGGATCAAGCTGAATCCGCTGTTACCCGGCTGGATGGGTTGGATCCGGAGACCTGGGATTATTCGGCGCGCTTGGACGAATGTCTCGGCACTCTCGGACTGTTTACTGATAGTCCGAGGAAGCTACTGCTGAGGAACGGCCTTGACTATGATTTAGTATATGGTGCCTGAAGGCCTCTAGATTACGTATATCATGCTTTGATGATGATGACAACGACTATGATGATTATTGCATGACTGTGATGATTGCATTTAGGGTCACTTTTGTTTCTTTTGTTTAGTGCTCTATCATGATTTTGGTTAGATGCTCTTTGTTTGCCTGTGTTTCCTTCTGTGGATCATGATGATGAATGCTGTCTTCTCATGCTGATAGAATGTTCTTCTCACGATATTATACTTAACAGCATACATCTATATTGTGTCTAATATGGAAAAGTGATTGTATCTCTTCTTTCCCCTGCTGTCAAGAATACTCATCGTACACGACATTCATTTGTGACAACAAACAACTGCACTGGTGACTCGTGAATCAAACAGACCCAAGTATCTTCTCTGAGATTGCGACATTCCTCGGGCAGTATTCCAATAAATCTAGAGCCCACAAATGATATTATCCCATGCAGGCCTTTACAGCCTACCCTACCATCATGCTTGTCTCGATCATTGTTCTCAACTAATTTCAAAAACTGGACAAAAAATCAGGATACCTCCCAACATGATATACGCGGGCAGGAATTCTTCCTGAACCTTCAATCTATTGACGTGACTAGCTTCTCTTCTAGGTATGATGGGTTGCAACTCCTAACGAAGGCCTTCTCTGATACCAAATGGTGATAGGATCAGTTTCACGACTTTGACTTACCCGACTAAGGACTACCCTGTCAATAGGACGTCTGGCGTTAGCATACATTTCATCCCGCCAATCAGTCAAGAGCTGGTTAACTGTCCATCTATGCTATAAAGGCCCTTGTCGTCTTCCGGCTTTTAGTAGAACTCGGTATTGTGGTACGAAAAAGATTCGGTACAATTAATTCATAGGAGCAGAATCACAGGTTTGGCACAAGAAACAGTTCTTGTGCTTGTGATTCTCAGCCATCCGATGTAGCTGGCCGTGGAATCTCCCAGAAGACTTTAAGTACTATACGTAACTAGCTAAGTGTCTCTAGTTTTCATACACTTCAATGTTACCATCGAAACTCATCACGTGAGACGTCTTTCTTTAACTTCCTGTTCTAGACATCCCCCTCGGGTCGAGCCACAATGAACGATTTCGATCCACAATGAGCTGGGGGTCCAATGGTAGTCTTCTATTGAATGCCATGTGAGTTAATACCCAGCACATGGAGTAAAGTGAATTAAAGTCCATCTTGACTACTATGAAACAAGCCTATGACGTCGTGGTAGTGGGTCGTGGTAGTGCGTCATCGATACAATGACGTCATATAGATATCATTGGGCCTCAGGAACCAAAGTCAAGGGTCCAGGAACAGCCCTATATAAACAACCATCTTGGCTTGTCCAGATCACCATCAACAACAATCATTCTAACAAACAAACAAATACAATCAGAGTCAACAACCTATCAATTCTTCAACTACCTCACAAACAAAAACTTCAACCACAAAACAACAACCACAATGTCTGACAACGGTGCTTCCACTCTCAAGTCCTATGTCGACTCTGCCACTGGCATGGTCCAGAGCGCCGTCGGTGCCGTGACTGGCAACTCCGCCACCAAGGTACATACTACTACCATTTCTTCAATACCAACAAGCATATACTAACAAGCACAGGCTGAAGGCGATGCCTCGCAGCAGAAGGCCGCCGCCGAACACGACGCCAGCCACACCACCGCCAAGCTAGGCCCCTTCTCCGCCGACCCCAACACTGGCGCGACAGCCAAGGACCGTGAGCAGCGCTCCACAGGCGCCTGGGACCAGACTGTCGGTTCCGCGAAGGAGTCCCTGGGCAACCTGATCGGCAACGAGAACCTGCGCAAGGAGGGCGAAAACCAGAACCTACGTGGAAAGGGTGCCGAGGCTGAAGGACAGCTGAAGGATTTTGGTGAGGGTGCTGCTGATCGCTTGCAGGGTGGTCTTGGAAAGGTCGCTGCTGCTGCTACTGGCGATCGCGCTGAGGAAGCGAAGTGGACTCAGGTTCATGATGAGGGCAAGGTGAAGCAGAGAGGCGCCGAGCTTGATATGCAGAAGCATGCTTAGATGGGATTTTCAAGCGTTACTTGTGATACCACTGCGACTGGGTTGATATCGCTGCGTCATGGAGTTTGACGGTTATGGGATGTGCTTTTTATGACTTGAGATGTATTATACTTGATGGGAATTGATGGACTTATTCAACACCTTCCTACTCTGGTAGATTTATAATTGCTGTCGATTATCTGTTCTTAATATCTAGTAAGATGGCACAAATGTATTCTCAGGTTTGGGTCGAGGGCATCATTCAAGACTCGTTCGCTCGTACCCCACGAATCCTTCGCAAGATGTTGGTTCTCATCATCCTCTGAATATCCCCGATCTCACCGAAAAGTACCAAGAATATAATGCTCCTGCTACCCCCGTCTCTGAGTGAACGTCAGTGGATGGACTACGGCAAAAAGTGGTGTCAAAGCTCCATCCATGGGTATGACAAGGACTTTGAGTCTATCATTTCCCTCACCGAGGCTCACTGGACAGGTAGATATCTCCCTTATGATAGATTGAGATGGAAGCATTTGTCAAGCTTTTGTACAACATCATGATAGATAGTTATAGAGATCCGATTTTCTCTGATACTTAGCTGATCCCGAATGACAATATCGATTATTACAGTACCTGAACGCAACATCACAAGCTAATAACAAGTCAACCTTAGCAAGCATATCTCCTCCGCAACAGCATACCATATAAACGGGACATCATGCAAGCCTTGGTTGAATTTAGTCTAGCACCAACTTTTCCGATACCACCTTAGCATCAGTCGCCAAGGTATAGTACTTCCCACTCACTTAAACGGGCTAGCTCTGAGAGAGAGAAATAAACCTCGCGGGTTTATTAACTGAGCGAGAACCTCAAACCCCAAAAAATTGGGCGAGAGGATATTGTAAGTTCTGCTTTTGGATATTACCCCAATCCAGATGCCCAAAGGCACCTACCTGGCGGGGAAAAGGATCGGCCGCGGAACCACAACGGATCGGCCCATCTGTTACTTCTCTAAACCCTTCATTTGCGGGGGCCGGTGATAAAGAGTCCAATCATCAAAGATATCCATGTGAACTTACACCTAAGTTCTCAGCTTTGCAGAGATTAAGGGGGGATGCTGCTGTGGTACTAGTAGTTCATGTAGTAGTAGTAGTTCAAGTGCGCGTTGCGGCACACGAGGCCACGTAGTATCTGGCTTCGTACGATTGGCTGCCTGCAGGCAAGACATGACTCGCGCATACACCAGGAGATCCGTGCGTCTTCGTTTCACTGGCTGTGCGGTACAGGAAACTGAAGCCTTGCCAGCCTTGTACTTACACCACCAGAGAGTAGAGAGCTGCCCATCCAACGAACAGGTATGGGTGAACTGAATCATGCCGCAGATTCTGCAATGGCCACAGAAGTCCTGCCACGTCGGCAGGTTGGGATCCCAAATGAGGCGGAAGTGAGGGTATGGGGCCTTGAGGCATTATCCCATACGGAAAAGCAACAGGACTTAAATTGACCTTATGTGTCGATGTGTTGAGGCAGGAGTGTCTACGGCCTCAGTTCGTTGACAGAACAGACTGGTGCGGAACTTTAGGTGTTATCTATGGGCTGCTTTTGCCTTCTCTTCAAACTTGTTAACCAACATGCCTCCTCATACCCTGACCTCACCACCTATACCCTCCCCTAACGCCCTTGACCAGCATGTCCTGAGAACGATTTTTACTCAGCTCAAGACAGTGACCTCAACTACAGGATTCAATGCCATTTTAGAGATTTACGATGAAAACAACAAGTTATTGGACCAGCTGAAGTCCAAGGGCCATGAGCTTGCAAGCCTCAGAGAAGAGATGGACGAGGAAAGAAAGAGGAAAGACATAGCGCTAGACGAAATGTTTCAGGCTAATGAAAAAGAGAAGGGCAGACACAAAGAAACAAAAAAGCATGCGCAGACACTGCAGACGATGATTAATGACAAGGACACGTGCATTTCCGAGCGGGATAAGGTGATAGATGAGTTTGGCAAGCAGGTGAAGAAGCTCCAATCCGATATTGCAATGGAGAGGGACAAGTTAGCAGTAGCTCGAAAGGAAATCAGTGGTTTGCAGCAAAGTATCCAAGAAAGAGAAGCCACCATTGACAAGATGAAAGCGGCGGGGACAGAGTTGAAAGACAGACTGAATTCCACCAAGAAAACGGTCAAGGAACTGCAAGATGAGCGTACTTCCCTCAAGGAATCGCTGACAAAAACGGAAGGAAACCTCAAAAGATTGGAAGGTTATGCTGCTGGATATAGTGAGATGACTGAAGACTCAGTGTACGTGTGCATTCACTTTGGGATCATAGCTTCGCCCAACACTCCAACTGACTTCATTTAGGATTGAGAGCTTTACCGGACTTTGGGAATATGCTAAAATGGAAATATTTGCCATGTTAAAGAACGACCTTCCTAGAGACACACTTCAGGTAAGTAGTTGTCATAGTACACCGTCCGAGAACTAGAGAAAGCAGGGAAAGGCTGACAGAAACCAAATTGATTGAAACGATAGAACGTTTCAGCATGGGAGAAACTTCGGCAATGTGATTTGGCACAAGACAGCCAGGTCCCTATTCCATGTTCCAACACGCCAGCAGCGAAGCAAATGAGGTTTGCTATCATCTTGGCTATTCTGGCTAGAGAAATTAATACACATATCTTCCTACCAGTATACATCGCCGCCGGAGATAACAAATATAACCAATTTCGAAAGGTCCTCGCTAACCAGGCAGCTATTGATAGCGAGAAAGAGTCATTTTGCCGGTCGGTTCTTTTGTCGATAGATCCAGGAACTCAGGAAGGGATATGTTTGGTGGGTATCCAAGCTGTGGTGAAGAATGTGTCAGAATACCTGGATGAGTTACTCCCGGAAGATCAACGCCTCGCTTTCCATAACACTCTGAGAAAAGTTGTACGGAAGGCAGCGGATATCTGGAAACCGATCCAGCACAGTAAACGCAGATATGAGCCAGACTTTGACCCGCCGACCGCCGAGGATGATTGTGAGGCCTTCAAGTTTCCCATTACCGAAAACCTCACAACGGAGAATAACGCCAATCAAAAGAACATGAAAAAAGTTTCTTTGACTGTGTTCCCCCGACTGTCGATTATAGAACACGGCATTAGCACTGCATACACTGCTATTATACAAGTAAGCAGTTCACAACGCCAGTGGGTAGCTGCAGAAAGTGAGATGGACAAAGAACCAGCCAGCCCTACTACTATTGGGCGGATCCCCTGGCGAAGGAAGTCGAATACTCCAAAGACCACATCTGTTCCAAATGGCGGCTCAAAGAAAGGTAACGGGGAATAGGCACTTGAGTAGTATATGGCTAAGACGTGAGTCTTAACTAAGTCGCATACATGATTGCTATGTCTCAATTGCGTTAATGGCAAGTTTGTGTTCAAATTGGAAGCACCCTTCTCCCACACATTAAATTGAAACATTTTGTTGCGAGCTCCACCGACTATAGCAGGATTATTTGGAGTCTTGGGATGTAGCAGCGCAAAGCCTTGCTGAGAACTAAGAATATTTGATATCATCATTTGGCCATTCTTTCTCCTTTCTCTCCTCCGGAGGATCACTAGTTTAGAAATAGACTGGGAATACCTCTCCAGGCTCCGTTTTGCACCTGCATAGATGCTATGGTAAATCGTAAGGACCCAAATAGGGTTTAATCTCATGCTCGCAAGACACGAATTTCCTTAGAGTTCTCAAATTATAGTTATCTGCACTAGTCTTAACTTCAAGGCTTCCAGGATGGCTAGGGGCCTGTGTAATATTATCATAGAATGCTATCGTTTTAAAAAGACAGTCTAAGGTAAAAATATGTTAAAACAAGTATCCGTTGACACAGTTAGCGGGGCGCTGAAAACGGCTCCTATTGAACCGCTGATTTGCCTAGTCTTCTTCAGGGCCCACGAATGGGCCCAAACTCCAGGCCCAAGGCCCAACCACATGAGCCCTGGGCCCTGACTACCAGGCCCAAGCCCAACCCCTAGGCCCACGATGGGCCCCCAATGGGCTCCCCCCAAAGCCCATTTTTGCATAAATACTGGTCTTGGCATTCATAAAGATGCTTACTACGCAGGATAAATCACGTTTTTTACATAAAGCCCTATGTTTGCACTGTTTGGGGCCCAATTGGGGGCCCACAGGCCCATTATGGGCCCCTATACTAGGCCCAAGGCCCAACCCACCGTGGGCTTGGGCCGGGGTTGAGCGCTTTATTGAATAAATTACTTTTAAAAATAGTATATTAATATTTAATATTTAAATTTATATAAAATATAAAGCTCAGGTAGATGAAGCTATTTAAATAAAGGGAACTTAGTCTACTAAATCGGGGACTAGATGTATATCTTCTAGATATTTTAGCTATAATATACAAGGCTATAAAATTATAAACTATCCAAATCGATGGAACTACTTATCTTTATATAAAAGTCTAAATTTATGGTATTTTAATCGTTTTAATTTTTCAAATTGCGGGTGGTGCGCAGCTCGGTTATCAACTACGTTATTGCATGCATGAGCCTATCATCCCGTATAAGGTAAATGTCTTTTAGATACACATCATAATACATGCTCAATCCACTGCATTATTGGCACTAAAGCTCGCCTGCCATTCAAGGTCCTGAGCGGATGGGGGAAACTGGTAGGTAGCCAGCGAGGACTTGACGGTTTCCTGTATCCGGTTTTTGATGGGTGGTGCGCGCCCTTCTTGCTCCAAACTATCCGGTGTGAACACTTTGACATTGGGTTCTACCATTTCCACAATGCTAGAGGGAGTGAAAGAACGTTGATCGAATGTCGCATTAGAATTCGGTTCTGTATGGCTACTCTGCCCTAGCATCAACACGCGCTGCTATGAGCTCTTCTGTCCTTTAGCCTTTGCTTCCTCAGCGCTCTTGCGCCTTGTAAATATGTATGGTATAGAATGTTGGCATAGTTAGATCAAGAGCCTGCTGCCGCGCATGGGAAACGATGGACTGCACTTCCTTTTCTGTCAAACAGGAGACTTTTCTCGACGGTCCAACACACATCGATTCGATAATCTCGATGCCATGGCGTACCAGACAGCGCCAGTATCACTAGCAACTTGGTTCCATTGATTCAGTGGCAGGGCAATTTCCTGGTGACGGACGGCTTTGAACCCCGCTTGTCGTAGCCACATTTGGGTTTGTCTTGCACAATAAATAATGGGGTGACCAGAGGCTGCCGTTGCATATTTCGTTTGTTGGTACCATTGACAAAGAGGTGTGTCGTTCAATGACTTAATATCAGAACGAGGTTCAAAGTCAATTTCCCATTGCTCGATCCAGCCATCAGGACGAAGTGTGCTCCAAATCCTCTTGTAAAGAAGGGGCCACGAAACAACACTACCACTACCCATTCGCAGATTCACCACATCCCATGGCGCTTCGCCCAGGAGGCATCGGCTTTGGTAGCCAAAGGGCGCTAGGAACCGGCGCAGGTAAGCCCGACATGGGGATGTTCTTCCCTCGTCATTTATTATTATTATCAGGAACTGTCAAAGGTACGTACAAGTTCAATATTTAGCTTAATTAAAGTTTATAACTGTTGACTCTAGGTTTGTGAGCAGCTCCAAAGTTAGAGTGCAGAACAAGATTCAATTTCCAATTTAAAATCTTCAAGTATATGGCGACGTTGTATTGTTCCCTTTGCTGTTGTTTTGAAGGGCTTGTTGATGGGCGCAACCAAGATACGGTTTCGTGTTATCTGAGCCTCCACGGGGAGGCGACAATTGACTTGTTCCACCAAAGGCCAGAGCCGATCGACAACCTCTTCGGGTGGCATCGAGCGCCTTGCGATTCTCCGGTCTGGATCTATAATCAGCATTACACGAAGGGCATGATTGGTGGCTACCATCGCCTTGGAGACCAATTCATGCCCTTCGAGGGCTCTCTCAATGGGACCTGGATGGAGAAACACTCGGTTCTGTAATTTGGAAACATCATCCTTGCGGCCAACATGCTTCCAAAGCTCCTTATGATCCGGGTGCTGGACAAAAAGGTCGCCTGTACAAAACTCTTCTCGATCGGGGAGAACGAGGAAGACAGTATGCGTATAATAGTCAGGCGGGCGTGTGATGACCAACTCAGAACACCCACTCGGGTGATCCCGCATTTCCATAGGATGGTGGCAATTCCATTCGAAATATTCCCAGTGCATAGGGTCTTTCGGTTGTAGGCTACAAAAATAGCCTGCCTCCGTGAGGCCGATGGAGGATTGCAAGCGTGTCGCGCGGGCGATCTTATCACCCGCACTCGGTGGTAAAGGCATGCCGACGAAGCTTACGCACTCTAAGCTGGCCAGTGCCGCTAAACCCTCTTCAGAAGCACTCAAGCACGTCAAAGTGTCTGGCAAAAAGAGACCCGACTTTGCACCCGTCTCAGAGACAATCGCTTTCAACGACCCCGGGGTCAATGGTGCGTCGGGTCCAAGAACAAAATGCGTGCGATGAAAAATTGCAGCTGCCCAGGTCACAATACCAGTTGCGTGGAACATGTTGGTCTTTATGAGATGGGGATGGTGGGGGTGACTCAGCCAGGGGGCTGTCGATTTCCTTCCCTGGGGAAGTGGGATATGCTGGAAATAATCCAATGCACTAAAATATCCATGCGGCAGGGCAATCTCCTTGGGTACGCCTGAGCGGCAAGGATTTATAGACTGTCATTAATTTACCCACCCGGAGAGATTCTTAGGTCACACCACTTACCTGTCGTGCCTGAGCTATAGAGGACAACAGCTGGTTGTTGTTCTCGAGCTATGGTATATTCGTGGGGGTAGTGAACTGGCCTGTTCGGGCCAGTAAACATTGTCCAAAGATCCATTACCTCCCATATATCCAATGTTTGATTAATTTTTTTATAAGATGCACTTTGTCGGCAAGCTCACGCGCAAACAGTAGCCTAGAGCAATTTCCCGAGGCCAGAAGATAGTCGATTACGGGTTGAGCTGTGCTTGGATCCAAAAGAAGAATCTTGAGTTTTTTGTTCAGTCTGATACTACTGCAAATCTGACAATTAACCGACTCACACAGTGGCCTAACTTCATACACGCAATAACCGCTATGGCATAACGGATGTCATTTGGTCCAATATAAACGAGCCTCTCGGGCGTTCCGCTGGAACAAACTGTCTCTTCGAGCCACCAAGCAAAACGGTCTACCGCCTTAGCGAGGTCGCCTATCGTCACCCGACGCCATCCGCACCCCATATCTTTGATAGATACTGCATGGATACAAAAGAGGCGTTCTGGGTTGTCGAGGGCATCCCGGTCTAAGGCATCCGGCACAAGACGTGGCATGAAAATGGTGGAGCCCATCGGGATCGGCGAAAGGTTTGATTGTTCGTGAGAAATAATAAGATCTAAATGAATATTCACCAGCAAGGGCTAATGGTGCTGTAGCATCATCAGGGGATCAGGGTGATTTATAGCTATCTCACGGTCCACTTGCACTCACCGCTGACCAACTCCTACTGTAAGGAGGTAGATAAGTGGGCCTACACAGCAAAGTCTAATCTCATCCACATGACAACAGGGGTTGCAAGGGGAATTATTGCGAGCTATGGACTGAACCACGATCGCTGGGATATCAATGAAGGTAACGATCCCGTCTGCCAGCTGTAATATTCGGAAAATAGTATACCTAGATAGTCGTACCCTGCGGTAGATCACTCACCACTGGTCACAAAACATCAATAAAATGGTTGCATATCCCTTGCTGCTCTACCAAACACGTAATGCTCGCTTTCGTTATTGGTTGACTCTCTTTCTGTGATCAGCAATGTGCAAATATGTATCAGTGAGACACGTCCTTCTTCCGTAATCAAACAATATGCCTGGCCTTCCGCGGGTCCGATGCCGAAGGAGGCTTTTTCTTGTCGAGCAGGCCCTGCTCGTATAAAATAGGTTCCGATCGAAATGTGAGGAGAGCATGACAACGGCTGATAAAGCAGTCGGTTGCTACCTTTGGTCTTTCTAGCAGCTCGCTTATGCTAATTCATCCTACTTCCTGATCCGCTGGGGTATCACACTTTCCTGTGTCCAGAGACCTCAGCTTTGAACATCGGGTAAGAGTTAGGAGACACCACATCGACGTTTGGATAGTACTCTTGGCCGTGTGGTACGCGATGGAAGGCTACCAGCCATCCAGTCAGGCACGCAATGGACATAGTGACGAGATGGGTTCCGCTTACAGCAAATCAGAGAGCGTAGGATTGACAGTCCAGGCATCGCAAACCCCGGGAGAAGCAAGCGATACTGCACATACCATAATTGAGAAATTCAGCCAGGAAGGAGAACATGAGGCCTATTCCGTGTTCATGAATTATGAGAAAATCCTCTTTACCTCCTTTACCAGTTTTGGAATGGTTCTCTGCATGTTTGCAACCAACATCATCCTCCCAGCAATGCCGGTAATGGGAGATGAATACCACATGTCGTCAGCGATGATTAATCTTATTATAACATCATACATGGTCATCCAGGGAATTTCGCCCGCACTGTTGTCCATAATTTCTGACGTGCATGGACGGCGTTTGGCGTGGATGCTTGCACTGTCGCTGTACACGGTGGCCAACGTTGGTCTAGCCCTGCAGACTGATTTTGTTGCGTTGGTTCTTCTTCGATGCCTGCAGAGTATAGGAAGTAGCTGCGCCATTCCCTTCGGATTTGCCGTTGCTGCCGACATTACATCGCCATCAGAGAGGGGAAGATTCATCGGTCCCATGCATGGAAGCGTCATGGGAGCTTTTGCTTTTGGGCCCGTCATCGGCGGGACACTGACCACTTACCTCGGCTGGAGGAGTATATTTTGGTTTCTCTCCATTAGTAGTGGGTTGTTTCTTTCCGCCTATGTTTTATTTATGCCTGAAACGGCCGGGCCGTGGTAGGCGACGGTTCCGTCGCTCCAAGACGCTGGTGGACAAAACCCGTCTTCCACAATACCAAGCGGCTTCAACATGATGCCGCGCAACGGCCCGCTCAACCGCAGCGAAGGAGGGAGAGGCCGCAAACCGCCTTGCACATGATCTTTGCCTCTTTGCGTATCATAGGGAAGAAGGACGCCTTCGTCCTCATCATGTACACGAGCTTGCTCTATTTTGGGGTTTCTGCCTTGTGGTCCACCACTGCAAACCATTTCGGTCAGCGTTACGGGCTAAGCACACTGTACCTCGGGCTCTCTTTCATGTGAGTAATTGGTCCTCGCTCGTACTGCTCTGAATATCTGAACACGTCTGATTGATTCCCAGGCCTTACGGAATCCTCGGGGGCTTGGGTATGGTGATCAGCGGTAAACTGCTCGACTATAACTATCGACGACTGTCCAAGCAGCACGGAATGACCTCCGATCATCCGAGTAGCAATCCCAATGGTTTTTCTATCAAAATTGCCAGGCTACAAGTTGCGATGCCTTTCATGTTTCTGCTTGCTTTTTCATTTACTGCATACGGCTGGATCGTCCAGGAGCACCTGCCCTTGGCTGCGGTGCTCGTGTTCCAGGCTCTCATCGGGCTGGGCAGTACTCCGTTACTCGGAATCATATACACCCTTCTGATAGATCTATTTCCGGATCAAACTGCTACGGTTTCTGGAGTGGCTGATTTGATCAGATGTTTGTTCGGTGCCATCTCTGCGGCAGTCATTGATTATATGCTAGTTGGTATGGGCTGGGGCTGGTGTTTCACATTATTGGGTCTGACTCTACTACTTTCACTCTGTTTTGTTGCTTTTATGCTTTTTAACTCGGCTCTGTAGCGTGATAAGTATGTATGGATTCTGTTCCAGTTCCTCACAAAGTTCATGTGGCAATGAGAGGATACAGGCGAACGTGCGGGAGGGCAAATGGATAGAGGTCAGTTGGGTGATCTATCTTAACTCTAATCCACTATGGGCTGGCAGAGAAAACCCAACATGGAACCAGAGATAACTAGAGACAAAAAAGCTTGTCCATAAATTTCTCATTTACTCAGAGCAATTCCTCATATATCATCACCATCTAATTTACGCGGATATTCTGCTTGAGTCTCCCAGTCCCTTCAGTTATTATTGGCATTCTGCTACTAGTTTCCAGTGCGTAATTATGAGGCAGGACAACGTTTTCGCTAGGCCTAAAATTGTGTCTGTATATAGCTACCCTACCTGCTACCCTCTAGTGATAATCCCAGGCATTGACTGGGAGTATTATGTAGGCACGCCCTCCAGTTTGACCTTTTCATCAGAGAGCCGATGGGATGCTTAATAAAAGAAGAGGAAGAACGTCAGATAGTAGAGGCCGCACCAGAATGGAGTCTATCTTCGAACTGGATTATGCAATGACTCATTCCTTGGATATAAAGTAAGCCACCCTATCTTCCGTCAACTAATTCTCCCGGCTTCATCTAATTAATAACCTATCTATCTCGCTACTTTCTTTGCTAGGGAACAGTCTTCTTTATTATTATGTTATGTATGCCCTCCTGAACGATAGTATGCCGATCCTAATTCTTATAAGCATGGGTTTCTGTCGCTTTATTCTGCCTCTATTATCCCTTTTGCCTTTAATACGAGTCCTAGGAACCTATTAACGCTTACATTGCATCTGGCACATGTTACAGAGATGCCACGCATTCATAGTAGTACACCCTCCTTCGTCGACGAAGTTTTCTTAACCCAATCCGAGAGCGGAATCAGCGAGGTATATATGCCCTCCACTACCCAAAAATGTTTAGGATATAGTGTAGGCAAAGCAAGCAAGGCACACGATGGAAGCCTCATGCTAGCTAAAAGTCTTAAAACTTTCCCTCAATTCTCGTCCATTTTTGATATGCTAACAATAATTTACGAACCGGTCCCTAGCTACAGAATCACCTCTGGCATCCTCGAAGAACACACCATGGCCATTTCCAGACTTTCAGGTGCCCAAACCAAGCATCTCCTCTTCACGAGACATCTCCCTAGCATGCAAATATCTTTAACTCACACCGTTGTCGGCCTGATAACCTATCTTCGATTATGGAATATGACAGCACTCTAGAGTATGTGAAGGCAGCTCTCCCCTGACCGGACCAAACACCCCGGCTTACTGGGCTTTCTTTGTGCTAGCATACGTACTGACCTAACTCGCTGTCGTCCGAGAATAGTGCGGGTCCGGCTCAGTGATCGCTGCTCACTGGGCATCTGTTTGCCGCAGGGTTCATTAGTTGTCAGCGTCCCCTTGTTCTGCCTGGCTTATCCCCCTCAACTAGTTGACCTGGCTAGTGTCGTAACACCCATCGATTATTTCGGGGCTGGATACTATTTCTTGCGTCTCTCGCTCATGGTAAATTCACCGATAATTATTCCCCATTATTAATCGAGGATACATTAGAGAATAAGGCGACAATGGGATAGAAGGTCATGGAGATGTGCCCATCGATGCATGAGCACAATTCTGTGATATATGCTATTCCTCTCAGCTATTCTCATAGACCCGCCCATCTTGGTCTTCAAATTATATTGGGATACGGTTCACTCCAGCGGCCAATTATGCCTTGTTGTGGTGCTACCACTTTTTCACATCGGCCTACCAATCCCACAAGGAGTCTCATAATTCACTCTTTAACACATCATGAAAAGTCAGCTGGTCGTTGGCCAACTAACCCGGGCACCAGTGACTGGGGTTGGACCGAGCATTCTAAAAAAGGACCGTGTGTTTATAGAATAGCCATTGAGAATTCAAATTATCTGGGTTGCTTAGTTCCTCACGAATGCAAATACATCTTGTTAGCGCTCAAGCCCCGTAAGAAGTCTTTAGATACTGCAATAGAGAATTTAATTCATAATGAAGAAGACTAATCCCGATCTAGGCCCTTCACATTTTAGATATCTAAAATTTATTGCTTTACCGTTTCTACTAACCACTCCTGTATTGGTGGCGTCAACTGTCACTGTTGCCTTTGTTACCTGAAAGCACTGGTTGGCTCTAGAATGAAGCAGAGAATGACTGTACATTTCAAACAAAGCCTTCGTGAATATGGCATGTGCCGAGATAATAGTGACTCATCAACTGTCAGATAAGGTATAAATTAATCCTTCTCAACAGCTCTGAGACACATTCCACATGTCGTTCCTTCGTTCACCACATCTATCTTTTCTTCTTTTCCTTCTTTTCTCTCAGTCCCTCCTTTACATTTCCAATCGTTACTACTGTTCTTTGTTTAATGACCTCCACACCACATAAGACGACTATGTTAATACATGCGATGTGTCATCTCGAGCCCACAACCGGACAGGCACATACGATGTCTATACTCCCTTACACTTCGATGCACCAGACAGCCTATTCTTGTGAGTGAATGAGGTAGACATGCCACTTCTTACGAGCTGAGAGTCCCAGAACAGCATTCTCCTCTACTTATATATATATATATTCTCCGACAGTCGATGGACAACTGAGTCTAGGAAAACCCAACGAGAAGCCGGTCTATGGACAAAGCATTGAACTCAAGCCATACTGCGGTCAATCTTCTCGAACGAGGAAAGGCCCACTCACTCCCATCAGGGCCTGTTGTCCAAGGACAGGACCCTGCGATAATTCGCTACGCTTCTACACCGCATATACCCACATAGATCCTGAGGAATCAAAGGGTGTCTATCAACTTTCTTTCATTCTTTTGATGACACCCTGGTGTGGAACAGGTCAGGCTGTCGCGGCATCGTTGACTCTCCAACGTCATTCCTCGCAATCAATAGGTTGTTCAGATAGGATAGAAGGACAAGGCGATGTCGCCTGACTTAGGCTGTTGCTCATTCCTTCCTCTAGGAAAATCTTCTCCCACAATGGGTAAAGTCCTCAGAGCGACTTTCTTGCACAACGCATACGATGTTCGACTCAAAGCCAAGGAGTCTGTTGTTGTCCCCGCTGAATAGCGGAATTCTGGGATACATTGCTTCGTCCGTTGAGCGAAAGGCATCATGTGGTGGGGTCGTGGAATATATAATACCGACGAGGACAGACTTTCCACTACTGTTTCTCTTACTCACAAATTTGGCAGCCAGAAGGATTGGCCTTGCCATCATTTTGCCAACCTTTGACACGAACCCGCAGGAGAGTTACTCCGCAAAGCGCACACTCACACCTCGATGCCCTCCTGGCACTATGGCAAAATACACAGTCTTCGGTATTCATAGTCAGTATATGACGTGAAGGGGCTGTTTCACAGAACGCATCGCCCGTCATTGCCAGCGGCGAACAGCGACAGCTTTCAAGTCCCATCCGACATGACAACACCGTTAATTCATACGCCCAGGGTAAATGGAACGATTCCTCCAGTGAGCTGGGTCTCGCAATATTTGCAATTCCGTCAACCGGCACAAATAATAGAGGAGCACGATAAAGTGCCCGGCTGAGTTTTACTTATGGCCCAAGATCAAGAAATCCATACCACAGCTGATCATGGGCTCCTGGGTCATCAAGAGTTTAAAGTGAAAAGATTGGAGCTAGACGCTGCTAATCTAATATACTGTTCTATGGCCCCCTGTGCGATGTTGGGCTACGACACACCGGCACAGACGCTAAGCTTATCTGCGAAAATGGCAGACTTTCGAAACCCAGAAGCACTATATAGCTCGATTATCAACAGTTCACGTCTTTGCTATGGTACTTTTCACTAGCTGCATCGAGGAAGTTAATGGATATTGCAGAGAAGGCGTGGTCACAGGCAGAAGGCCTCCTGACATTGTTTATCTTGAGCTGCAGCTCTTCAAGGACTCGGGCGAGTGCGAGCGACATTGAAGCTTACCTATATATACAGCTTCATATCAGGTGCGATGCCATGGATGCTTTGTTCGAACTTTATTCCATTGTTTATATATATCGTCCCATGGAGTACGCTGAGATCGGGACTTAAATGAATCGCGGCACGATCCGACTTCTACGACAATGCCGTCGGTTCCTCTTTGATGGAAAAAGTGGTTAACTGTGCATGCGATACCGACTCATTTCTCATCCAAGGTGAAACAGCACTCGGGCGTCCCAGAGAGTATCGTACATGTGAACCTGTCTATATATACAGATACGGTCTCTGGAACATCCGGGGGGCACGACAGATAGAGTATTTTGCTCGAATCATCCTCGCCCTGCTACTTCTGTAGCCCTCTTGAAGACCCATATTTGTCCTATCGCGTGATCTTCGAGCCGTAAACCTCTTATTTCTCAATATCCCGTTGATTTATAATCCGGGTGCCTGTGTCGTATGACCACGGTTGTCAACATCGGTGCAACCATCCTAGATTTCCTGATGTGGTTCTAACTGGGGTGATACAAGCTGAATGTGCTACGGTGCCTGGTAGAAGACTGACTCTCGCTCTTGCGAAGCACCGTAATCTTCAGTTTAAGGCGTGTTGACAATTGAAAACCGCTGGCATGATTTTGCTGGCACTCTATCTTATCCCCACCTAACAATATATATCCTTGAAAACATCACCACTATCATGCCTATTGGGATGCGCGAGGGCGTTGGCAAATGGTCATTCTTGGATTATGAATCCCCTGGCACCTCAGGCGGAACTGGGATCTATCCATTTCCAGGACAGAGCAACCAACCCAGCTCCTCCTTTGATTCCAAATCCTCTTATAATGGAATACCCTCTCAACCCCTCTTTGCCTCGTGTTTTAATTCTACTTAAACAAATGCTTTTTTCATAGCCAGTTATGATACAAAACTATTTAGGATTCAAAAGCGACGCAAATCTAAAAGTCCATTAGCGTATATTGTGTAAGATGGTAAGAGAGAATC